ACTGTCTTCTTACAATTATCTTAATTGATTAGGTGCTGAATTTTGTCTTACTCAGTCATCGCCATGGTATAAAAACCCCAGACCCAAACATTATTCTTTTTCATCACACTACAAACTTGTTTTAAATTGCAGTATCCAACTTTATAAAACCAAGTGTGAGCATATATTTAATCTCATAATGACAATTATAATATAATCATGAAACCCGAAGTCACCAATATTTGTCCAAGGTATCATAACGAGGCTTATGGAAACACAGTGGAAGTGCGCCAGCACTCTGGAAGCCAACAGCAATGGAAGTTACATGGATTAAAAAAGAATTTGCCTATTTGAAATGGTCTTTTACTAATATCGAGCCTGCAATTTAGTGTATTTGGATAAGTGATGATGCCCTGGTTTTACAAACACAGATTATTCAAATAGAAAGAAGGCAGAAGGCTGGCGTCATCCTAGAAGGTCAGAGCTTTAGGACTTTGGGGGGCAGAAAAAAGAATAAAAAAAATAAAGCTCTGTGGGCCGAGGAGATGAACAATATGGCAATGCTGAAGTCACTGTAACATTATTTATCTTTTTTCTCTGAGTATGATGTCTCATCTTCAAGAGTTTTTTGTTTGAAAGTTAAAAAACCAAAAACCTGTCCATTTTTTTCTATCTCCCTTAGAATGTAAAATCTGAGAGATCAGGACTCGCTATTATATGTTCTTTTATCCCAACTTGGATTTCATTATTTTATAAATCATGAGCTCTTTAAAAAATGCTGACATTTAATGAGTAAATTCCACTAACTCAGGGTTTAGTTCAAAAGAATAAGCATTTATTGAATCTTTATTATGCACAAGGCATTGGACCAAGTGCTAGGGAGACTATGCAGGTGATAAGCACATAAAAAATAACATCTCCGGCCGGGCGCGGTGGCTCAGGCCTGTAATCCCAGCACTTTGGGAGGCTGAGGCGGGCAGATCACGAGGTCAGGAGATCGAGACCATCCTGGCTAACATGGCGAAACCCTGTCTCCACTAAAAATACAAAAAATTAGCCAGGTGTGGTGGCGGCACCTGTAGTCCCAGCTGCTCGGGAGGCTGAGGCAGGAGAATGGCCTGAACCCGGGAGGCGGAGCTTGCAGTGAGCCGAGATCGTGCCACTGCACTCCAGCCTGGGTGACAGGGCGAGACTCCGTCTCAAAAAAATAAATAAATAAAATAACATCTCCAGTCTGAGCAACATAATGAGACCCTATCACTACAAAATATAAAAAACATTGGCTGGGCATGGTGGTACCCGCCTGTGGGCCCAGCTACCTGGGAGGCTGGGGTGGGAGGACTGCTTGAACCCAGGAGGTCAAGGCTGCAGTGAGCTGTGATCCTGCCACTGCACTCCAGCCTGGGCAACAGAGAAAAACCCTGTCTCAAAAATAAATAAATAAATAAATAAATAAATAAATAAATAAATATTTATGAAACATACTATTTCCTCCTTTTTGCTTATCTGTCAAGAAACTCAAAGCTAAATTTCTTGTTCAATTGCAGTAACGTTTTCAGACTAGATTTTTCTATAACAATTCTCTTTTGTTACAATGACTCTTTTTTTTTAAGAACTGGAGAAAAAAGTATTTGTAACATAGTAAAGAAATAAGTCTAAGTCAAGATGAAGTGAGTTCAGTGCCACAAGAAAAATCGCAACAGACTGCACTGAGGATTCACAGGCTGAAAGGAGTGTATGGGAGAAGACAGGAGGTGAGTTTTCCAGGAAAAGGTCATTCCAAGCTAAGAAGACAGATGGGTGAAGGTACGGAGATGGGAATATGTAAGATACTTGGGAGAAAAGAGTTCAGATACAAGGAGGTTGGAACAGAAGGTGGGTTGTTTCATTAACTCTCAACACACAAAAAATCAACCCTTCTCTACTAAGCATCATATTGGCATGTTGTTCACATGTGTGAAATCTTCCCCATAAGCACAGTAAGGGTATCTTCATCTTACTCATCAGTGAGATCAAAGACTGGAGATGACATGACCATGTAATTTCAGCACAGACACAAGAAGCAACAATAAATCAAGAAGAATTAATGAATTTCATCAAGTGAGCACTCCGTAAATGCTCTGCGGCTGTAGTCACACTGATCACCAAGACCCGAATGCACTTTGTTTTATGAACATTTAAGCTTTTACAACGGCCCCCATACTGCTGGTCTTCTCTACTGAGCTCAAAGCAATTCGTTCTTTGGAGGCCACAATCTATTCTTTACACTTTAACGATGGAAAGACTGGAAAATGATCTGTGTAAGGATCATGGAACTTAACAGACAAAGGAAAAGCAAGGCCTCATTATATGTATGAGGGAAATGCAAAGTAGAATCTGTGGGTTCATGCTGAAAAATCCAAATTAGAACAGCTAATCAAGTGAGAGAGTGTGACTAGTTCAAGTGTTAATCACAAAATTCTCCATTGCCCATATTACAAATTAGACTTGTTTTTGGAAGCACGTATGCGATTAAGAGCAAACAGGTCAGTAACACTGGAAAAAGGCTGTGAACTAACATGGAAAGTTGTCTAGTCAGCTTTGTGTGGTTGCTCCGTTGCTGTAGCCCTGTGTTTTTCAAACTGCAGGTCATAATCCATTAGTTGATCATGAAATCAATTTACAAAGTCACAAACAGCAATTTAAAAAATGTCTGTATCACTTAGTATTGTTTCATGAAACATTTATTCTAGTTAATATCAGGTATAAATATATAAACATATGTCCTGGGTCAGACTGCAAATAACCCCAGCCTCAGTCAAAAAAAAGTCGTTTGGAAGCCGTTGCCGTATTCTTCCTCACTGGGAAGCTAGGCTTGGGAACCAATAGGACTGAGACTACAAAACGCAGCTTCACCAAGAATTTCAGTACAATTGAAATTGTGACTACAAAGATTATATTGCAACGTATTATTACGAGAGGTTATGTGTGCCATATCTATATTTCTATATCAAATAGGTAAGAATTTATGAATGTAATAATGTCTGCACAGTTTTCTAATATTTAATGCTAGATAAATGGTTTAGAGCAACCGTTCTCAACTTTTTAGTCTCAAGACCCCTTTACACTCTTAAAAATTATTTTTTTATTACTTTTTATTTATTTATTTAGTTTTGAGATGGAGTCTCTATCACCCAGGCTGGAGTGCAGAGGCAGGATCTCGGCTCACTGCAACCTCTGCCTCCCGGGTTCAAGCGATTCTCCTGCCTCAGTCTCCCAAGTAGCTGGGATTACAGGTGCCCACCACCACACCCAGTTAATTTTTGTAATTTTAATAGAGACAGGGTTTCACCATGTTGGCCAGGCTGGTCTTGAACTCCTGACTTTGTGATCTGCCCGCCTCAGCCTCTCAAAGTGCTGAGATTATAGGCGTGAGCCACCGCACCTGGCCCACTGTTAAAAAATATTAAGGACTCCCTCAGAGAACTTTTGTTTATATGAGTTATATCTACCTATATTTACCACGTTGGAAATTAAAAAGAACTTTAAAGAGGCCGGGCTATGTGTGTTTTGTTCAGAGCATATGAAGAAACTCTGGCCTCATATGTAGATAATGTAGTTGGAAAAGAGATGGATATTTTAATAGACTTTTTCAGATAACTGTGGATATTCTTCTTGGATAATATACCAAAACTTGACAAGCTGGAGTTTCTCAAAGCTTAGCTGCAATGTACTATCTGAAATCCTATTAACTTTTCATACCGTTACATTAAAAATCCATTAGTCCACCTTGTCCTGGAATGGATCTTTTGCCTGTGCATGATTATGTAGCATGAGACATCGGTCATTTGGAAAATATTGGACCACTGAGTTAAGCAGATCTCTGAGATACTGACACTTTCCATTACACAAGATTTGTTAAAATTGCACTCATTAATATCATCATTGATCTCATCAGAAAAAAAGTTAAATATTGAGACGTTGTCAAGCTCATGGCAGCAGATACACATTTTCTAAACTTTTAATTCTGGCTTGAAGGCTTAAAAATTATCATTGGCAGCAGTAATTGTCCCTTGTTTTTCTGAAAGTGACAGGCACACTTTATTTATTTTCAGGAAAATGTCTGTCAAGTACCTGTTTGAATAATCATAGTTTGCCCATCTTTCTTTCAAGTAAAATGTTTTATGAAAATAAAAATAAAAACATGAATTCGGCCTACAAACTCAAGCACAGAAGTATTTTCCTAGAGACAAATATGACACACTTCATTTTGTAGCAGACGTGCTTTATGCCTATTTCCTATTTTTTCATGCAGAATACTAACAAGAATGGTACCCAAGGATTAAGCTTCAATAAAATTTATAATTTTTACTACTTATCAAGAACACCATCAGGTGACACTGGCTCTCTAGCTTTTTTTTTTTTTTTTTAACTGAGAATGCAGGTTAGTGACGAGTTACGTACTTTCACTAGCAATACAGTTTGGTGTCCCTGCCTTGATTGGGTTAAGCCACCAGCACTTTTAACCACCATTGTCTGCAAAACGTCACCACAGTGAACAAGTCAAATAAGTAAGTCTTAGTATTGTCATCAAACTTTTTTTTTTTTTTTTTAACCTTGCAGATCCCCTGAAAGGGTCTCAGAAACTCCCAAGGGGTTCCAGGACCACACCACACTTTGAGAACCACTGGGTGTTAGCGCATTCAGAAATCAACTCAGTTCTCTTTTTCTTCAGAGTTCTTGATGCTCGAGGCTTATTTATTGTGATAGGTCTGATCACTGAAGCGCCAAAGAAAAGATATGCCAAGGCGTCGAACACATCCAAGAAGGAAGTCCTACCGCGCACACAGCTCAAAGGCTGGAGCGTGAAGAAAAACAGCTCTTGGAGAAAGAAACCGGATGCAGAGGGCAGGCCTGGGCTTGTCGTTGCCAGTGGCAACGATCCTCAGTGGGCGGAGCGCAGCCATCGATTAGTGAGGCCTTGCGTCAGTCGGCGGGCGGGAGGGTGTGGGTGACCGGAGCCGGAAGGCCTCCCGGGCCTTGTGGTCGCCGTGGGTTCTTGGTAGCGAGGCAGCTCGCTCGTTCTGCGATCTATTGAGAGTGGCTTCCAAGAGCCCCGTGCCTATGTCGGGGAGGGAGGGAAGATGGCAGCCGTGGCGGCAGGCGGCCCGGTGGGGAAGGGGCGCGACATCAGCCTAGCGGCCCTGCAGCGCCACGACCCCTATATCAACCGCATCGTGGACGTGGCCAGCCAGGTGGCTCTGTACACCTTCGGCCATCGGGCCAACGAGTGGGTGCGTGCGGACGCGGCGGAGCAGTGCAGACCAGGGTTGGGGTGGAGGCGGGGGGCGCCAGACTCAGGACTTGAGGACCCGGTGAGGGGGAGGAGACGTTGACGCCCTTGAGGTGGGTGGATCTGGGGCCTGAGGCCGAAGTTGTGGAGATGCGCTCCCGGGGGTTTGGGGGAAGGGAGGCGGATCTGTGGAGCTACCTGGAGTTGGGGAAAAGACTTAAATCTCTAACGTACCCAGCGCTGGGAGACCAGACCGATCGGGTACCGCACCCTGAGAGCCGAAGGAAAGGAGGGACCTGATGCCTTAAGGTCGGAAGACGGATGTGCTCGAGACAGTAAAGCAGAGTTCTGTTACAGTGAATCTGTGGCTATGGGGGAGGCAAGGACAGCAGACGAATAAAAGTGCAGAGTTCTGATTTTGGAATGTCAGTCTTAGATGGGACAAAGAGAATTCAAAACTTGATAGAAAGGGAGAAATCTGCAAGTTATAGACTAGGGAAACGCCAAGAAAAGAGCCAACTCGTCAAATAAGAGACAAAATGGGGCAGGGTCCAACACTTAGAAGGAGGCTGATGCTCTCGGGAAGATGATTATACGACAGTCCACCAAGTTTGATATTGGAGGCCATTTGGGAGCCAGATTATTTTAGTGCTCTTCTCAAAGCAGAGTCCCAATAAATGGTAATGGAATGAAATTTCATCGTCCTCACAGTTAGAATGGGGTAGAAGCCTAGAACACTGGAATCCTGTTGCAGGAATTGCTGCTTGTAATTTTGTAACCCACCCACTCGAATGTAGAGAGATGTAATTTTATTTCTTTCCTCATAATGATTTTTGTCCAAATAATATTCATCATCCATTATATATTGCCCATTATATATCACATATATGATATCCATCATTTTAAAATAAGTTACAAAACAGTATGGAGAACTTAGCCTTGATGAATGGATTTCAGATAAACTTTTTGTGTTTTTCAAGTCGGTTGTATAAACATCAGAACTTAAGCAAGGAAAACATCCATGTTGAACAACTCTGTTTTTTTTTTTTAACACCCATGTTCATAAGCCTGCTTATCTCCAGTGTAGTTCAGCAGTCTGTAGTAAAAACTCACCTGAAAATCGTTAACATAAAAATAAAAAGACAAGCAACAATGGGATAGACGAACAGTTTTGCCCAAAGTTCTTAACAGAGGAAATTTACAGGAATGGGGCAAAGAATTTAGGTCTGCGGTCCTCGTGGCCAAACTCAAAAGGAGAACAGGAAGAGCTCTTTAATATTCGTTCTTCTGTAATAGACAGCCTACCACTTAATCGGGAGAAAGGTTATTTCCCCCTAGTTTCCAGGAGAATTTGTCACCTAGGTCTTTACATAAAGAACATTGAGCAACATAGTAGACAGTTTCCTCCATGGTAATTAAAAGTATATATGAAGATATTCTACGTAAGGCTATTTTGCTGCTCTGTAGAAAAACGCCAAAGGTATAATGTTATAATCCTGTAAAAGTTAATTCCATAGTAGAGAGATGAGGACCAGGGATGTATAGTTCTGTAAGTTGACTTGACACTGGGATTCGAGTCTGGAGAATCCTGAGAAACTATTAATATAAAGAAAGTAGAGCATTTCTCTTAAATAATAAAAGTTATTTCCTATAGGCTTTTGACCGTTATCTATGTGATAGATACCTTTTAAGATAGTTACAGATGTTTATTAGATACCTAAAGCCTCATCAAAAAGCAGATGTGTCACAATGCATTATTTACAGGAGTTATGCTTTCCTGCTTGCTGGACATGTTGCCTTCAGACAGGGCATAATTCACTCAGGAAAAGGTCATTCTTTCAAAGTTCTAATCTTCAAGGCTGTGGTAGCCAGAAAAACAAAAAGAGAGACATAGTTCAGCTGCAGAGCAGTTGCTGGAGGCAAACAAATTGTGACCACTGTCTCCATGTGCTGTCACTCTGGATGGGAGCCGTTTGCATGTAAACCTAATAAGAATATGAGAACATTCTTGAGAAGAGAGGAGAAAGTATTTACAAGAAGGCGGGGGGGATGTTAAAGAGGGGAATTCTTATTGCCCTGAGAATGGATGAAGAATGACTTCAGCCTTTCAGAGGAGGAGAAATTAGGAAGGAAAGGTGTATAGAAAATGAACTACTTTAAAGAAGAATTAAGAAAGATTATGTCATGACTGGAATAGGAATTTTAGAGTTAGATCTACTCCCTGTTGCCAGGAAAGATGCCCCCCCTCCAAAATATTAATACCTGTGTGTCAGTTGAAGACCATAGCCCTGGTATTTTCCAGCTGTCAGTCCTTAGACCAGTGGCTCCCAACTGGCGTTGATTTTGCCCCCAGGTGACATTTGGCAGCGTCTGGAGACGTTTTTGGTTGTCGCACTGAAGGGAAGAGTGTTAGGACATCTGCAGAGTAGAGGCCAGGTGAGCTGAGCCTGTAAACTGCCCTACAGTGACTGAGGTTGTGTTCCGAGCTAGTGGTTTTCTAAGTTTTTGGTGTAGCCAATTAACTCAGAGTTTTTTAAAAGTGAAAAATGCCCAACTAAAACCTCTGGATAATGAGACCCAGGCATTTGAGATTGTTGAAAGCTTCATAGGTGACGCCGATGCTACATGCATGATTAAGAGAGATTTGGGAGGATAAGTTGAGGCCTACGTTTTGATTATTTTAATTGAGAATAATCAAGTTAAAATAGAGATTGTGCTGAGCTATTTTGTGTCAGTGTACAGTCCCCAAAATTTGCAAAACAGCACTATTTTATATTCCATTTTGGGTTTTTTAGTATTTTGAATTCTGAATTGCTCATTTCTTTGGCACTTGTTAGATTTTGTAATAGAATATAATATTAAATCGTCGAATTGTACTTTTAAAATTTAAGCTAAAATACCCCAGGACTAGTAACTAATACTTTAACATAAAAGTTCTCCTTAAAGGATCTAAGGAATATCTAATCTTGTTTTAACTATTCTCCACATCCCTAACCCTGGACTTTGCTCAGAAAGAAAAAAAAAATCTGGTTGCCCTTGGATAACTGTGGAGGGGCCAGGAAAATGCATGAATTTGGGCAGCTATGATAGAACAGAAATGTACATTTTCAAAGTCTCTTTTATCCAGGTATCATAGAGCACCTGACATTTTTTCATCAAAAGATCTGAGTATTGTAAGCTTGTTATCTCTTTTTTTTCTTTTTTTTTTGAGACGAAGTCTCGTTCTTGTCCCCCAGGCTGGAGTGCAATGGCGCAACCTGGGCTCCCTGCAACCTCTGCCTCCCCGGTTCAAGCTGTTCTCCTGCCTCAGCCTCCCTAGTATGCGGGATTACAGGCTCCTGCCATCACGCCCAGCTAATTTTTGTATTTTTAGTAGAGACGGGGTTTCTCCTTGTTGGCCAGGCTGGTCTCGAACTCCTGACCTCAGGTGATCCGCCTGCCTCGGACTCCCAAAGTGCTGGGATGACAGGTGTGAGCCCCCGCGCCCGGCCTGTTATCTGTTTTCAGCGGAGAAACTGAGATATATCATAACAAGCTAATTAGCCCAGCGTGATCTGGCAGGAGCCCCACTGTAGGTCCCAGGTTGTGATTGCCGAAACACAACTCCTTCCTATGAACAAATTCATGTTCTTTGTGTGTGATGCTAAATAAAAATCTTAGTTTTCACAATTGCTTGTTATAAGTTAGAGATTAATTTTAGGAGAAGCATGCCTTTTACATTTCTGACCTTGGAATTTTAAAAACTAAAATGTGGCATTAAAGGTTTGTTTTTTTTTTTTTAAATTAAGAGAATTTCTGTTACATCAAGGAAGAAAGGAAACAAGTCAGAAGCTATTTAGTTTTATGTGTGCTGGTGTATATAGATGTCCTGATTCGGATCTCTAAGATGAAACAGTCCAAGGTCAAATACTGGAATACCAGGAGAGTGTTTTGATCTTGTGGGGCGTGATCCTGACGGTACATAGAGGTTCTGCAAAGTCCTAGTTCTATCCCCTGTATCTTGGCTCAGTTTCCTAACAATATAATGGGTAATACCAAATACTTAGTTTTTACAAATTTATTTTTAAATGCTTTGTGGACTTGTGAATACATGCTGACTGAATCCTTTAAACTTTAGGGACAGCCAAAAATTTGTTCAGGTAGCATTTACTGTACTGTAGGGGCCATTTTCCTGATCAATACTTTGGTGGTTTGGGGTTAAGTAATTCTTAGTGCTTAAAGTACACTCAGGATATACATTTGTCAACAGATAGGAATTAGCCACGTTTGTTCTCAAAGAAAGAGAAGTAATGTTTCTGTATATATGTTTTTTCATTTTGACTTGGATATTTTTCAAAGTACGGGGGCAAATGAGCCGCATTTCAGAAATAAGGAAATGTTGCACAGTATGTTGTAGCGATTTATACAAACTTTATAGTGGGTCTAGTTTAAGGATGAACTCCCTGACTTTCTTACCTATGCTTATATGTTAGGGAAAAAACCGGCTAAAGCTGTTTTGTTATTTATTTATTTATTTATAAGAGACAGGGTCTCCCTCTGTTGCCAGGCTGGAATGCACTGGCACAATCATAGCTCACTGTAGCCTCAAACTCCTGGGCTGAGGCCATCCTCCCTCCTCAGCCTCCTGAGTAGCTGAGACTACAGGCGTGTGTCATCACACCTGGCTAATGAAAAACTTTGTTTTGTAGAGACAGGGTCTCACTGTGTTGCCCAGGCTGGTCTCAAACCGAACTCCTGGCCACAAGTGATCCTTCTGTCTCGGCCTCCCTGAGTGCTGGGATTACAGACATGAGCCGCTGCACCTAGTCTAAATTCTTTATTTATAATTTCATATTCCATAATAATAAACATCTTGAGATTAAAAATTTTGTTACTAAGTAATGATTTTTTTATAGCCCTTTATTCTTGATAATAACTTGATACGATTTGTGCCAAAATGGATTTTGTTTTCAGGACTTGTAATATAATTTCATGGGCAGAGAGTATGTTGTTGAGCTGAGGCAGTGGGTGGCTCTCAGACTAGCATACATCAGAATCACCGGGACAGTTGAATGAAAACCAGATTGCTGAGCACCATCCCCAGCGTTGCTGATTCCGTAGGTTTGGGCAGGAGCCCAAGCACTTGCAGTGCTAGTAAGTTCCAGGTGATGCTGATGCCGCTGATCTGGGGATAACACTTTGGGGCCCACTGAACTAAAGTGAATGAGAAATTGGCTGAAATTGCTTGAGCATGTGAAAGGATCATGCCTTGTGTGCCTTTTAAAAATTGCTGTTTTGACATTACACTTTTTTTTAAAAGGGCATATTTTTCACCAAAATTATAGAGTACTTAAATTTTGAATGATTATGGTCATGAATATTAATAATAAAATATCAGGGGTTTAAATAGAATGCTGAAATTAAACCATGTAAATTGCAGAAGTACATTTTAAATTCTGAATTACAATAGGCCTGGTTACTGGTTAATCAAACACCTGGATAGTTACATGTATGTTTGTTAGTATACGTTATATGGATGAATATTATCATAATGGCCCGACTTCCTGCCTTCGGAGAAATGGAAAAGAAATGTCAAATGAACTAGTTGAAGCATCATTTTAACTTTACCACCTCTCCCAGATTTTCTCAGGCAAATTTCTTGAGTCCTAACTTGGTAGTACTTGTGTAACTTTACTTCAGGGATCTCGGGGCAGACCTTGACTGTAAATAGACTACACTAAGTAGGTGACTGATTCATCTGAGAACTCTGTGGCCATCATTGCCCTCTCTATCTAGCAGCCACAGTAGAGTTATTGACAGATCATCTGCCCTCCTAAGTGACTGGATATGGCAAGAGAAAATGAACCAGGAAAACAAAATGAAGAATAGTGAAATGCAGACACCAGTGATGTCTGCAGCTTGCTCCATACCCAGTGTGGTGGCTGGAGAAAAAGGCAGCGCTCTTCTTTCTAATTAAATCCACATAGCACACTTATTTTCTCGTTGTTTCAGCTAGAGGTATGTTGCTCTCCCTGTGTTTGGTAAAGAGAGAGAATGATGGTTTATTTTATAAATGACAGAAGAAAGCCTGCTTCCTGCTGCCTAGTCTGCAGAGGCAACACGGATGGCCTAGAGCTTGCTTTCTCCTTTTCCTGAGAATCACTCCTCATGTTGGGTGTATTTGGCCCATTGCAGTTTCACCTGCTTGAAGTTGGATATAATTCCTATTCCATGAGAAGTTGTTTTATACCTTTGTGAATGAGGAGAACATACATGTCTTGTGTGTTTTGTTTTTATTGTTTAGGAGAAAACTGATGTGGAAGGAACCTTATTTGTTTATACAAGGTAAGAGTGTTTCACTTTTATAAAGAAACTAACAATCTTCATAATAATATTTTAGCTCAATTGTGTCACTCTTCAAGTGCATGCAGTTTTATTTCAAAAAGAAGTAAAAGAATTAAATCTCAGTTTTGAAGTTATTAGTTGACATGAAGAAGGGAATAAATACTGAACAATGTCACCGGGTATGTTGTGATGAATACTAATTTCAGAATATAATTTAAACTTCAATATAGATGAACTTAAATCATTGACTGAGCACTGTTTAAAATAGATTAAATATTCTTTGATTCAAATGAATGGCACAGAGTTCTTGAATATAATGCATTGGCCAGGAGCTAGAAGAACACTATGAGAAATACTAGATTGTTCAGTTAACATTTGAAAAAGGGTTTCATTGATCATTTTTATTTATTTTGTTTTTTGAGATGGAGTCTCGCTCAGTTGCCAAGGCTGGAGTGCAGTGGCACGATCACAGCTATCAGCTCACTGCAACCTCTGCCTCCTGGGTTCAAGTGATTCTCCAGCCTCAGCCTCCTGAGTAGCTGGGATTACAGGTGCACGCCACTATGCCTGGCTAATTTTTTTTGTATTTTTAGTAGAGACGGAGGTTTCACCATGTTGGTCAGGCTGGTCTCAAACTCCTGACCTTGTGATCCACCCGCCTCGGCCTCCCAAAGTGCTGGGATTACAGGCGTGAGCCACCACGCCTGGCCGTTGATCATTTTTCTCCCACCACCGACTCTTTAAAAAAGCGTGATCCAGAATTAAAGATGTCTTTCAGTCCTCCATTGTCTAGTTAACAGAATATGTTTCAGGATAGATTTAATAAGCTCATGTTTTTAGTCATTTCTTGTTATATTATTAATATCAAATTACAAATGCATATAGAGACATACATTATGTATATTGGCTCAACAAATAACTTTTCATTCACATAAACATTCACATAAAATGTCATAGCAAAAGGTCATCACCTTCATTGGGGGTACAAAGATGAAATTAAAAGGCCTAATATAAACCTTTCTAGGGGTATCAGTTTCACTGGGGAGACAGGAAACACACACACACAAGTGTATTTTCTTTCTACATATATTCATGTTTATGGTAAGCCACAATACAGGATAGAGTACCCTAAGTGCCAGTGGATAGATTCTGAGCAATGAATGGACTGCTGTGATCGTGGAAGGCTTTATAGCAAGCTTGTCCAACCCGTGGCCCGCTGGACAAATGTGGCCGGGGATGGCTTTGAATGTAGCCTGACAGAAATTTGTAAACTTTTTTAAAACATTAGAAGATTTTTTTTTTAAGCTCATCAGCTATTGTTAGTGTATTTTATGTGTGGCCCAAGACAATTCTTCCCCTTCCAGGGTGTCCCAGGGAGGCCAAAACATTGGATACCCCTGCTTTATAGAGTGATGGGTCTTGAATTGGGCCTCAGGAATATGGTAGAACTTAGCTTGCATAGAGGAGAGGGAAGGCAGTCTCAGCAGGAAGAATGGCAAAAGCAGAGGCATAGAACCTGGTGTGTAAAAGGGCCAGTGAGGGAGATGTGGTGCAGAGGGCTTATACTGGTTTGTGGTAGTTAGCAAGTGTAAAGAGATTTGCTGACTTGGAATAGCAGACTCTGGCTTTTGAGATTTATTTTCTTAGCAGTAGGAAGTTATTGAAGGCTTATGAACAGGAGCGTAATAGAGAAAATGTGTGGGGAAAGTCAGTGTGTTAACTTCATGGGGATGCACTGGTTCTGGAAGAAATTGGAGTCAGGACAGTGAGAAGATTATTGCAGTGGAGTAGATATGAAATGATGAGAGTTGGGATTAGAATAATAGAAATTGAAATGGAAAGGGCATTGCAATGGTGAAATTTTAAAAATGACAATATTTTGAACATGGAAGATTGAGAATGACAGAAGCATTGGTGGAATAGAAAGACAGGAGGTCAAGAATATGGTTTGAGGATCAGCCCTCATTTTACTTTGAAGTAATGATCTGGACTGGTAGCAGGACATTCGGGTGGAGGTGTCCAGCCCCTCAGAGTAAGGGCAAGGCTGGAGATGGTTTGGAGTTGTCTGAAGTAATTTGGTAGTTGAAGCCATGAAAGAAAGCTGTTCCCTGAAGGAGTGAGTGTAAAGTGGAACCGATGAGGGTTTATGGTTAGGTTTGAGGGCCAGCAAGGATACAGAGGAGTCAGCTAGAAAGGTAAAAGCAGGACTAGAACAGCACAGAGAGGCCCACTGGGTGCAAAGTGTGGGCATGATGGAGGTCTGTGTGTGCTGGGCAGGAGGGAGCTCAGCTGCAGGGGAGGAAGGTCTGTTCCAGTGGAGGCAACAATGGGAGGGGGAAGGAAGGAATGGGAGGCAAGGCCAGCACACTCGGTGACAAGGAGGTGAGGTTCTTCACAGTCTCAGAAAAGCAGTGAGGTACCCAAGAACCATTGGCGTATTCGTCCACATTATGCTCCTGAACATCCAGAGCGCCGGAGCATGCCCCCAGGCAGGTTTAGTCAATAGAGTATGAGCGCTCTTGAGGATTCTGAAGTTTACAACAAAAGCCATAGGGTTGAACTGTACTACGTGCCGTGCGCACAGGGTCCATTCTCACTCATGTCTCACAACAGGCGTTACTACTCTTTGGAGAAGTGACAGAAAAGATGTATTCGTATGTATTAATGATTGATTTTGGGAATTTTTAGTAGGGTTTTTTTCTAACTATGGAAGAGGAACAAATCATAGAAATATTTTCTTTTGTACATCCAAACCAAATGTAGGTTTGTATTTTCAAGGATTTCTTACTATACTCCAAGTTTCTAATGGAACTCTCAATTAAACAAAACATTAAATTGAGAAAATAATCCTTTGCTTTTTTTTAGTCTCTTCTCCAAATCTAACTCCTCAAGAATAGGATGCCTTCCTTATCCCCTGCAAAACAAAAACCTCCCAGATCCTAGTATGTTGAGGCCTTTCTTCAGTAGAGAATTACAAAAAGCATGTAAAACTCATGGTGGTTGGGGGGCGGGAGGCGTGTTACAGGGAATGGAGCTGGCAGTGATGTATTTTGACTTCTCTTACGGAAGTTACTTTAGAGCAGCTGGCACATTTATCCCCTGGGCCTATTTTCTAAATTATGAGATGGTATAGTAGCCGTGCTATTAAAGAGGTGAGATCCAGTTGTGATAATGAAATACGTGAAGAATCAAATTCTGATTCTTGTATGAAAACACTTAATCCCATTTAAAAAATCATTTATTTCCTCCCATGCCTTCCTTTCTGTAATAGAGAGTTCATAGAGACACCCACTGGTGGTTTCTGAACTTGACACGTCCAGAAGACCCCCTAACAGAGCTCTTTGGGAGTACATTTTCATTCTTCTCTGAGTTTAAGTTGAAGTGATGATCATGATTATTTCTGGTATTGATTGTATGCTTACCACCACTTTACCCCCTTTGTAAAATAAGCTAGGCAAGGATTGCCTCCCATCAGTTTTAAAATTGGAGGTTTCAGGAGAAAATCCTGGCAGTGGTTGTGTAGCTGTGTTCCTTGATCAGTATCAAATAGAGGCAAAATAAAACTAAGACATAAACAACTTGTCTTCCTGTTGCTCATAACATTTCTGTGGGTTTGTCAATAACAGCCCTAGCACCCTCATTTAAAGTAAATAAATGAATTCTGCTTGCTTCAGCTTCAGTGTGTAAATATGTGGTGTTTAGTTTGTCACCGGAAGTTGAACAGTTGAATTACTATATGGCTGTCACCCAAGGGTAGACAAATGCACATGTAGTTGTTAGAGTTTATACTCAGTATGATTTGGATTCTTTCTGCCTGGCAGAGTAGGCATTCAAGGTTTATTGAGTGAAATGAAAATAAAACGTCACTAAATGTCACATTTTTATAGAGAAAAACTTCTATAGTGGTTTGTCTGTGAAGCTGTTTGCTTTGCATTGAAGAAAACAAAGTATCTGCCCTTTGCACTGTTATGTAAACTTCTAGTTCAGGCTGTGTCCTCATAAACTCATTGTTCAGAGTTGATTCATATCGTTAAGAGATTTTGCAGCCTTCAGTTTCAGACTAACACTTAACATTTTCTATGAAAATTTTCTTCATATAATTGTGATGTACACTCTAATATTAACTACCAAGATTGTTTAAAAATATCTTTAATTAACTTTTAAAAAGTATTCTTTAAAAGTCAGTAATATTTTAAAAAGTAGTTACTCTGCCTTAAAGGAATTTACAACGTAGGTAAAGAAATAAACAAACAACAACTGTATACACACACACACACACACACACACACCCCCCACAAATGAAGTGTGACTCAATTTTACCGAATGAGTCATCATGACAGTGCTGCTGCATTACATGGGAATCAGTCCCTAATGATGCCAGTGGTGGAAGTATGTGTACAGGCTGCTTGTATAAAGCTGCATATACAAACAAAAGTTGAGAGACACATCAGAATGTACTTATACTGAAAATATAGCATACTAAGCAATTTGTCTATTGATCTCCCCCTGACCCCTTGTGATTTTTAGGTCTGCTTCTCCAAAGCACGGATTCACCATTATGAATAGGCTGAGCATGGAAAATAGGACAGAACCTATTACTAAAGACTTGGATTTCCAGCTCCAGGACCCTTTCCTTCTCTACAGAAATGCCAGATGTGAGTCTTTCTTACTGCATTGGGTAGTTTTACATCTGAAGTTTGGCCAAGTGTTTAAAATTGTACAGTGTATGCTATTGTGTTTGCATTTGGTATCAGTGGCTATGGGGGGTGGTCAGCATTTTAACAAATGTTAATGTTTAGGAAATGCATGCCTAACTGATGGAATAGATGCGTCCTCGGAAGAGTTTAAGTGAATATAAATATGATGATATATGTCTTTTGAAGCTTTATGGATTTGTAGTGTGAACCCATTGCTGATCTTAAGCCTGAGCAGGGCTGGGTGAGGCAAGTTCTTAGGGAGGAGACTCCAGAGAGACACATAGGTGGCGCCCTGAACGAAGAACTAACGAGTCTGCTGTGACACTTTTTCTGGATGTATCACTTTTGGCCCAGTGTGCTGACAAAGTGTTTGAGGGCCTGTGTTGTAGGAGTGCCATCTTCTGAATACAAGTAAATAAAAAATCAAAGTCCAAAAAGTTTCTTTCCGTCATTAAGAATTTAATAACCCTTTGTAATGTGGAAGTCATAGTAGGTAACTAAATAGTCCTTGTCAGATTTGAAATGAAGTAGCCATCGCCTTTCTAATACTACATTTTACTCTCATATCGTTTTCTGACCACTTGTGTTGCACTGCTGGTCAGCCCAGAGGAAGATTGCTGAAAATATGCCAGTTGCAGGGACATCTCCACACACAGAAAACAAGAACATAATATATAAATATGTATGTGTGCACATGTGTGCACACACACGCACCTTACGCTTTGTGGACAGCTGTCATAAAGACCTTGCAGTGAAGAAATGTTTGCTTTATATTTTTCATCCTACTCTTTGAACTCAAGATACAAGAATTTGCCTACCATATACTATTCAGTGTAATTTTAATAGTGAGTATAATGTAAATAATATTTGACATTTTAACCCCAATGCATCATTAAGATGCATTAAAATGATGCTATATATAATTGTCACAATAGGTGGTCATCCTGTTATTTAGAGAATAAATTTTTTATGAGAGGAAAAAAATAAAGCTATTGAAACTGTAATATGACTTACTAATGGCAGGTCCTGTGAAATGAAGTTTTGCAATATAGAAAAATATTGTGTTTTCTCCTCATGTTTCTTTGCCAAAAGGTACACTTTATCAATTGTAGTTGATTACCAAAGATTTGGATTTCCAACTCCAAGACCCTTTCCTTCTCTACAGAAATGCCAGTTTGAATTGTTTATAGTTCGAATTGTTTTGTGCGCTTATAGTTATATCAGGTTTTTTTAAGATTATTAGATTTTATGTCAAATTAATATATAATTTAAGTCCTAATAAAATAACTACAAAGTTACCTATAATCATCATTTTTGGTTGCTTTTATTTTGGATAAATACATGGTCTGGTCAGTTATAGGTAATATTTTAAATTCTTATTATGTATCATGTATTAACTACTATATCAAAAATATAAAAGTGCAAACTCTCTTTAATGCATCAATTTTAAAAATACCCTTCTTAAGTCCCACAGGGTTTATCTGATAGGAAATATTATTTAGATCTAATAAACATATACCTTGGTTCTAAACATATGCAGACCACTCTAATAGTCACTAGCTGCTGTGGCCGTTTAGCACCTGAAATGTGGCTAGTCTGAACCGAGCTGTACTGTGAGTGTCAAATAGGCACCAATTTTCAGACAGTACCAAAAAAAAAAGTCAAAAACCCCAATTATTAATTATTTTATATTAACATGTTGAAATGACAATATCTTGGATAAATTGGCCAAAATAAAATATATTATTAAAATTAATTTCACCTGCTTCTTTGAATTTTTAAATTTAAAATAATAGATGTGGCTCACGTTCGTGGTTCACCTCATATTTCTATTGAATGGCACCGTTCTATTAATTTGTTTTTCATATTTTCATTTATGTTTCCACATTTTATAATGATTTTCATTTATTTTACCGTATTTAATAATCACAATTTTGTAGAGTAGACATTTTCACTGCCATTTTGCAGATGAGAAAACTGAGACTCAGTGAGGTGGCAGACTGTGTAAAAACCCACAGATTCTGATTTCACTTCAATTGCTGTTTCCACACCACTACCTGTACTGCTCTACTATTAAACATGGATGCAAATTTGGGATGCATATTAAAATGTTTCTAATGAATTCCCATACAAAAGAAATAGAATCAGTTGAACAACAAAGAGTGAAAGGGAATGGATCTATTTACTTTTCTGGATTCATTTTGCCTTTTTTTTTTTTCTCCTTTACATCTGATACTGATTGCCTTTGCAGCCAGAGTCATTGGTTTTATGTTGTTTGCAAAAGCCTTTTCAATCCTGCTCATCAAAGGTACACAGAAGGGTTTACCACAGGTGCTGTCAGAGTCTCAGATACCTCTTAAACATTTTAATACAATTCAAATATGTTATATCATAATTATGTATGGTTTACATATTCTTTGGTGGCATGTAGATTGGTCGGCCTTTCTTTGGGCAAGGAACTCAGCTTCACTCAGGATTTTTTTTAAGACTGTTTCCTCAAGATAGTCTGTGTAGTCAGGAATCTCTCTGTATGGTCTTGGCATTGCACATTGGCTTATGTATATCATAGGCCATATTTGGGCATTTCAAGTAGACAAAGGTAGAACTGATAGAGGTTTGTGGTGAGGTTTTTTAGATTCGTTAGGAGAGAAAAAAAATCCCTTTCTTGAACTGGATGAATGTAGAAGAGTAAAATAAAGAAATGAAAATCCCAAACTCCCTTCATTTAATCAGTCAAAAAAAGATGCTTGATAAATAAAGTAACTTCATTCAAACACAAAATAGATTACTTTATTACAGAAAAGGGTTTATACATCGTTTAAAGGGTTTAAACATTGTTAAAATGGGGTTTGACCTGTATGAACTTTAAAAGTAAATAAGATAGCTGTTAAAGTTAGGGCAAACATTTCATTCATTCATTTATTCAGCAAACATTTACTGGGCATTTACTGTCTGCCAAACACTATGTTCAGGCTTTATAGGGGTTATCCCGTAACTTTTTCTTGGAAATACTATTACTCCTGTTTTATAAATGAGAATACTGAGGTTAAAGGGATTAAGTAATGCACTGTAGTCCATGATTATTTTGAGATGGCAACACCAATTAAACCAAGAAACCTTAACTTCAAGACCCAAGGGCCAAACAGTGAAGTATTAGCAGTAAATAATGCGTTTGAGCAAAGTTTATCATTTACAAGCACTTAGTTATTTTACAGTACACTCCAAGGTTTAAAAAGCAAGTTTTTTTAGCCTTGAAATTCAAGCATATATCAGTTATTAGAAAGATTCGTTTTTACCAAATTAAAAACTAATTTAACAAAAAGTTGAATTAGACCACTTCTTTTGTAATATTCCCCTATAGTAATCATTTACTGTGTTTTTCATTTCACAACTAAATAAGATACTAGCGTATGGAAATATCTTTTCCCAAATATAATACTTAGGTTATAGACAGCAATGACAGGGGGATTCCTTTCTTTTCTTGCTTTTTCAATTGAGACGGGGTCTTGCTCTCTTTGTCCAGGCTAGAGTGCAGTGGCACAATCTTAGCTTATTGCAGCCTCCACCTCCCAAGTTCAAGCAATTATCCTGCCTCAGCCTCTGAGGAGCTGGGATTATAGGCGTGCGGCACCATGCCTGGCTAGTTTTTAGTAGAGACAGGGTTTCACCATGTTGGCCAGGCTGGTCTCAAACTCCTGACTTCAAGTGATTGCCCACCTTGGCCTCCCAAAAGGCTAGGATTATAGGTGTGAGCCACCATGCCTGGCCCCTTTCCTTTCCCTTTCTCTTTTCTTTCCTCTTTCCTCTGTTCTGTTCTGTTCTTCAGAGACAAGTTCTTGCTCTGTCACCCAGGCTGGAGTGCAGTCGCATGATCATAGCCTCATTGCAACCTTGAACTCCTGGGCTAAACCACCATACCCAGATAATTTAAAACAACCTTTTTAGAGACAGGATCTTGCTGTGTTGCCCAGGCTGGTTTCAAATTCCTGGCTTGAAGTGATCTTCCCACCTCAGCCTCCTGAGTAGTTGGCATTATAGGCAGGAGCCACCATGCCCAGCTGACAGGGAGATTTCAGAGCTAGGCCAACAAGTTGAATATACTATTATCAACAGTTATAGGATTGCAATGAAATTCTTTTTAGATGCTGGATTTTATTGCAAATGTAAACCTGAAGTTTAGATCAAATCAGAAAAGACAAACTTAAGATATTTAGGACCAAAACTATTTTAGAAAACTCCTCCTAAGTCTTAAAGTGAATTTACCATTTTGGGAAGTTTTGTATTAAAAAAGAAATGACAGTTTAAATCCTTGATTAACATTTATAGGACCTGGGAAAAACTGCTATAAATAATGGAAATAGTACCCTGAATGAAAAGGAAAATTACAGATAGCCCTCATCTTCTAAACAGGCATCTTCCAAAAAGTTACCTTTTAAAGTGATTGGCTGATAGGCTTTTGGGTAAACCATGGCAGAGTGAGCATACTCTTGGTTTTCCTGAAGTTCTCTTGAAATGACAGTGAAAACATAAAAAAGACATAAACCCAAAGAGTGGAGGACCCATTTTACGAAAGAGATGGAATAAACAAGAAGTAGGAAGCCGTGCCGTGATAGCTTCATTGTACACAAATACGAGCTCTGCCTCCTCACGGAGGGTTGTTGATCTCTGCTCTGTTGGTTCTACCACACATTGACCCACCCTGCAGAAGGATAATACATGCTCACCTTGTTGTACTCAAGCATGGCTATACTAATTGCTTTGGCCAGTGAAATGTGGCTGAAAATATGTATCACTTCTAAGCAGATATTTTAAGAACTAGCTCAAGATTTACTGCCTTTTTTCCTTCTGCCATGATGACCAGCAATATTCCGGGCAGAGGCTGCTTTGTCAGCCTAGGTTCTGAAATGAAGATAACATGGCCCAGAGGTAAAAGTGACCCATGACGGACATGTAGCTTG